AAATATCATACGGACTTACTCGCGCGATCAAATCGCCAAAATAACACCTAGAACTACGAATTTAGCATCAAAATCAATGAAAATTTCAAGAACTCTTAAAGTTTCTATTTCCACAACCGAGGGTCCGAATCACGTCATATAAATTCCCTTTCTTACCAAATATCACAGATGTAACTTACATATCGTATCAAACCTGTACCCGGCTCCGGAACCAAAATACGGGCCCGATACTATCAAAATCAAGCATTGTTAAATTTCTAAAAACCATCATATTTCTAGTTAAACAATTTTCTTCAAAAATTCATTTCTCGGGATAGGAACCTTGAAATTCAAATCCGGGCATACGCCCAAGTCCAATATTTTCTACGGACCCTCCAGGACCGTCAAATCATGGGTACGGGTCCGTTTACCCAAAATGTTGTCCGAAGTCAACTTAATTAAATTTTAAAGGCAAAATTTAGCCTTTTTCTCAAATTTTCACATTAAGGCTTTTCGGATATACGCCCGGATTCTGCACACAAATTGAGGAGGGACAAAATGAGGTTTTTAAGGCCACATAACATAGATTTGACTTCTAAAATAAGAGATGACCTTTTAGGTCATCACAATACCAAAGAAACTTGTTATAAGCTACATGGATATCCACCTGGCTTTAAAGGAAAGAGGAATTAACTGTACAGACGAGGAAATGCAGTGGTGAGTGACAACAATCATGGTCAAGAGAATGCCATGTCCAAAGGTAGGGCTGAAGTACATCAAGGAATGGCTAATTTCTTCACTGAAGAGCAATATGGGCAGATAATGAGGTTGTTGAACAAGGAGAAGTCAGAGGATCACATGGCTAACATGGGAGGTAATGATGCTTCATAATTTTTTGAAATTCAGAGATCCTTGGATTATAGATACTGGAGCAACTAATCATATGACTTCAAATCATAATTTGTTGAATAATGTGGTCAATTTACTTGAACATAAGCGAGGTAATGTGCAGCTTCCAAATGGTAAGTCTGTCCCTGTCACCTATCAAGGAAGTTACAATCTCACAGGAAATGATACAGTCCATGATGTGCTGTGTGTGCCTGAGTTCAAGTATAACTTGTTATCAGTTTCAAAATTAACAAGGGAGTTGTAGTGCTCAGTGAACTTTTTTCCAACATTCTGTGTGTTCCAGGACCTGTATACAAGGAGGGTGAAAGGCATTGGTAAGGAGAGATGTGGCCTTTATCTGTTGATCCCAAGGAAGATTGACAAGAATAAGGAAGCACAAATAATTAGGAATTATCTTGCAGCAGAAATGAAGACTGATATATTCACCTAGAATAAAAAGCTTGGACACATACCTGTAGTGGTCATGAAGAAGCTGGATCTTTTGAAGAATAAGGAGATATCAATTTGTAGTTTTGAAAGATGTACTGTATGTCCATTGGCTAGACAAACAAGTAAACCATTTACTCTTAATAACAGTAGAGCTACAAAGATTTTTCAATTAGTTCATGTGGACATTTGGGGACCATATAAAGTTCATACATATAATAAAAATAGGTACTTTCTAACACTTGTAGATGATCACTCAAAGAAGATTTGGGTACTTCTGATGAAATTGAAAAGTGAAACCCTTGTCTTGTTGAGATCCTTTTTTAAATTAGTGCATGTGCAATTTGGAAAGGATGCTAAAATGCTGAGAACTGATAATGATGTAGAATTTTTTATCACAGAGTGTAGAGATTTCTTAGCAGGTTGTGGTGTCATCCATCAGAGCAGTTGTCCACACACTCCACAACAAAATAGAGTGGTGGAGAGGAGACACAGGCACATTTTGGAAGTTGCAAGATCCTTAAGGTTTTAGGGAAACATCCCATTGTATTTCTGGGGAGATTGTGTACTGACAACAGTCTACCTCATCAACAGAGTACCCTCCTCAGTTATAGGCGACATGTCTCCATATGAAGTTTTTCATAAGGCCAAGCCAAGTTTGTTACATCTAAGGACCATGGGTTGTTTATGTTATGCTACAATCACAGAGAAGGTTGATAGGTTTTCACCAAGAGCAATAGCTGCAGTTAAAATGGGATACTCAGAATCACAGAAGGGTTACAAGCTGTATGTTCCCAAGGGGAAGAAGTTCTTTGTGAACAGAGATGTGACCTTTAGTGAAGACATCTTTCCTTTTCAATCTATGAAGAGAACAACAGACACTCCTTTGTTTCTGGAATTGCAGGATGATCAGACAGTCCATCAAGCTAGTCCTACTCATGTGGAAACTCAACATACAGAGAAGGTGACTGACATACAAAGTACATCCACCATGCCTGCAGTATCACTTGAGAATCAACATATGCCACAAGTCGAACAGACTAATGAGAATGAGGTAGTAGCAGATGCTGATCAAGCCTCTAAAGTCCAACAGTCCATTGCAGAACCTGAACTATAGCCCAGAAGATCTTCAAGAGATTCTTGACCTCCAACATGGCTGAAAGATGATGTTTGTCCAGGCAAAAGAAGTTCTTACTCAAATTGTGTGTATCCTTTGTTCAATTACCTAAGTTATAACTCTGTTTGAAAAGAGTATAAGTCCTTCTCAGCTGTTGTATCAGCGGAAGAACCTACATCTTTTGTGGAGGTTATGAAGGATCCTAGATGGGTTGAGGCAATGAAGGCAGAGGTTGATGCTCTTGTTCTGAATAATACCTGGGAGGTAGTTGACATACCTAAAAGGAAAGTTCCTATTGGGTGCAGATGGGTGTACAAGATAAAATATAAATCAAATGGGGAGGTTGAAAGGTTCAAAGCTAGGCTGGTTGCTAGGGACTATAGCCAACAGGAGGGTCTAGATTATCAGGAGACCTTCTCTCTAGTGGTGAAAATGGTTACAGTAAGGGCAATCATTTCCTTGGCTGCTATTAATCAGTGAAGCCTTTACTAAATGGATGTCTGTAATGCCTTTCTTCAGGGTGACCTGGAAGAGGAAGTTTACATGCAGCTCCCACCTGGTTTTGGTAGTCAAGGGGGGAATAAGGCTTGTAGGCTACTCAAATCACTTTATGTGCTTAAACAAGCATCAAGACAATGGAACTTGAAGCTTATAGAAGCCTTTTTACAAGCAGGATTTTCCCAAAGCAAACATGATCATTCTCTGTTTATTCTAAGAAAGCACAACAGACTTGTTATCATTCTTGTCTCTGTTGATGATCTCCTGATCACAGGAGGTGATGAAACTCTAATACAAAAAGCCAAAACTATACTGCACAAGGCCTTTAAGATTAAAGGCTTGGGGTCATTAAAGTACTTCTTGGGAATATAAGTAAGTAGGTCTCAGAAAGGCATATTGTTGTGTCAGAGGAAGTATGAAGTTGAGCTCATAGCTGAGTTGGGATTGACAGGCTCAAAGCCAGCTGTAACACCAATGGAGCATAACAGAAAGCTAACAACTGTGGAATATGATGCACATTGTGATCTAAATGATGATTCACAACTTACAAATATGAAAGAGTATCAAAGGCTCATAGAGAAGCTTCTTTACTTAATACTGACAAGGCTTGATATTACATATACAGTGCAGCCTTGAGCCAATTCATGCAAGCACCTAAGAGATCTCATCTGGAAGTAGCATACAGTTTGGTAAGGTACATTAAAAGTGAGCCAGGTCTAGGCATTCTAATGAGTGCAATAGGTGACATGACCTTGAGAGCATACAGTGATGTAGACTGGGCTAGTTGCCCATTTTAAAAAAAATCTGTGACAGGGTATTTGGTGAAGTTTGGTGACTCATTGATATTATGAAAAAAACAGAATATAATTGCAAGGAGTTCAACAGAATCAGAATATAGAAGCATGGCAATGACAGTTTCTGAATTGATCTGGTTATTTGGAGTGTTCAAAGAGCTAGGAATTGCAGTTGCTACTTCTATTCAGTTCTTCACAGATAGCAAACCAGCAATGCCAATAGCCAACAATCCAGTATTTCATGGCGCACCAAGCATATAGAGATTGACTGTCATTTTATAAGGGAAAAGGTACAAGAAGGATCGATCCATCATGTATATGTTCCAAAAGAAGAACAAGAGGCAGATATATTGACCAAAGGACTTGGCAATGTGCAACATTATCATTTACTGTCCAAGCAAGGTGTTTTGAATATTTTTACAGCACCTAGCTTGAGGGGGGGGGGG